GGTAGGCTAGCCTACACCTGTGTTTACTTAACGGAGAATGACCCATTAAATTTGAGTATAGCTAATTGCTACTCTTTTTGCTTTTTTACTGACATTTATACTCAACGGTTACATTTTACCAACAATTTTGAAATTGCATCATTTGCATGTTTTCATAAAATTTCAAAACCCCTAAATAAAAAGTACTAAAAATGTTGAAACCACAGACCACAGTGTTAGTGTATGGTGGCGGCTGCACTCTGCAGTAGCCAGAAAGGATTGGAAATTTGGAATTTTCCTACTTGATACTGAAATTTTGTGGGGACAAAGTGAAAGTGACAGATTGTGAATAGTGGCCTACATTTAGAATATTGCAGTCTGATCATGTTCATTTGGTACCTAATACCATCAAACGGGGTAAAAAGGGACAAGCGGGGCCGTGAGGCAAAAAGGGACAGTCCTCCAAGTCCAACATGTTGTGGAATTGTTGTAGCAGCTAAACTAATTAAAATATTGCAAAACTAAAAATAGTGGTGTGAAGTTCAACATTTTTATTATACATGCAGCATAAAGCAAGTTGGGAATTCATACATTTCTTACCTCTAAAAAATCCCTGAAAAAAGGGTGAAAAGTGAGATTTTGGAAAAGTAGCTCTGCTAAAGTGACAAGGTCTGTAGCAGAAAAAATATCTGTTGTATTGAAAAATTTTACTTACATAAAAGTTGCACACTACTGACACTAGTGTTGGCTTAAAAACGGGATTAACAGAATTTGCGTATCTCATTCCAAGAAAAAATGGTGGCCAAATCACTGGCCATTTCCACAAAACGGGGTAATAAGGGACACCCCTGGTCCCCTGGCCCCCGGGGTAATAAGGGACAGCTGTGGTGGTGCAGCTGTGCAGGTGAGCAAGCTGTGGTGGTGCAGTAGTGCAGCTGTGCAGGTGAGCAAGCTGTGGTAGTGCAGTGGTGAGAGACTCTGTCTCTCGCACCCAGCGCCTGGGTTTGAGTCCGACTGAGGACAAGTTCTACCGGGAAGCACAGAGCCTCAGCTCATGGTCAACTCAGCCTATCATCCAACTCTGGTTGATAAATGAGTACCTGGCTTGGCTGTCCAGGGTGTTGTGTAATATAAGGGACAATAACAATAAGGGATACACCTCTAAAATTGCATTTACAAGAGAACCTTAGTTAGCAAAGGCTCCAGTTAATGAAAAATCAATTAACAACAAAGAATTTCGATTACATTTACCTTGCTCAGTGAGAAAATTTCACTTAATAAAAAATTACTGCATCAGTCATCACAAAATTGTGCATAAAATGTCACAGATAGAGTTGAGCACTGGGCAACAAAGAATGAAAAGTAGTTAACCTAAACTATGATTTATTTCTCCAAAAAATATGATGGTTGTCACTAAAATATTCCTTCTTGTTTCAGGTATGTTTTTATAATCTTTTTTGTTATAGTGAAATCACTTGACTTGATTAAATTGTGCGAAATTACAAACCATCCTGTAAGCTCACAGATACAGAAGAAATGCTACATGGCTGCTGATATGAAGCTTGCTGTGGACAAGGTCGTTGTCAATGCTCAATGGCATGTACATGGATACAGTAATATAACCAGAGCTGGGCAGCGCTACTTGGAAATGTAGCGGCGCTACCGCTACCGCTACATGCTCTAAATGTAGCGGGCGCTACCGCTACCGCTATACCCACTAGATTGTAACGGGCGCTACCGCTACCGCTACAGTAAAATGTAGCGCGCTACATTAGCCGCTACAATGGCTAAAATTATTGGAAATCTCTAAATGTTTATTGTTCTGCTATTGGGATTAATTCATTAACATTTAATGATAATAAAACATTTTTAAAACATATCAATGCAACTTTATTGCAATTAACCTCACCGAACTAGTATGGGTTAAACCCCAGGGTTAGATACAGTACATAAAAGTTACAGTTATTTTTATGTTTTACCTTCCCTACATGGATGTGAACTTTAATCTACCAATCTAAGAAATTATCCACATATACATATAAAAATCAGTCTTTTTTGTATATAAATGTGGATTATTTTTGAGATTGGTAAATTAAAGTAGACATCCGTGTAGGGAAGGTGAAACATAAAAATAACTGTAAGCAAACTGAAAGATGAAAAAACCTGTAAGTGGTAACTGGTAACAACTTAACAAGTAACAACTAACATGTTGACACTAGTAACAGGCTGAGGTTGACAACATTACACCAAAATCTTACGTACAGTTTTATTCTGTAATTTATATTATGTATGTATCACGCTGGTTTTTAAATAATAGTTAATACTATAAGGGGACCGGCTACCCTAAAAATCGGAAATTTTGGCTTTACCATTTTCTTGACTCATTTTGTAGCTGCTGAAAAGGCGCGTCTAACGCAGTTTACCGCATGTCTGTGCGTGCTATAATTTTTGCGTAAGACAATTTTAAAAATATATATATGAACATTTTTTAACAATATTTACAAAGATTTATTGAATTAAATCTGTATATATAGATCATTACTCTCGTTAATTACAAAGTGTTTGCACTCGTTTGAAAGCTACAAACAAGATGCGTTTAATAAAGCTACTACCATTGATGTTCATGCAATAGTTTTTGCGTAATGCAGTTGTAAAGTTATGTAAAATGAATATTTTATATATATATTTATGTATAAAAAGTCCCATTTATAGCCTATTATTCACGTTAAATTGAACATAAATAGGTCTAAAGACGCGTGCTGGTACCTTGAATGCAAATAATTGGCAATGGGAAAGCTTGGGCTACAATATCAAGACTTTTTGGGCATATTCTTCTGTTTTCAATGAATTTTACTTTATTTGGCTCTCCTGAACAATTTAAAAATCCAAAAAACGCCATCTTAAAAAAATTATAACTCCAACAGTTTTCAAGCTACGGCAACGAGAGACATACCATTCGATTTGTAAAAACAATACCTAGCGACTCTAGAAGCCTTTTTTTTAATATGTGCATGGTTTGACTTATATATGGGAGGGGGAGGAAGGTGGGGGGTAAAAATGTGAAAAAATGGGAAGAACGCGAAAAAAAACTTACCGCTACCGCTACATTGCCTTAAATGTAGAGCCGCTACCGCTACCGCTACTGAAAATGTAGCGGCCGCTAGTAGAGGCCGCTACATGTAGCGCGCTACTGCCCACCTCTGAATATAACATTAATAATATGGTAATGTATGGATAAGGTAATATTATATCAATGAAGAAAAACCAAATAAAAATCACAGAAAATATCATTTATTCTACATTTACATCATCTACAAAGGAAGAGGAGGACTTCAGAGTACTGTTAGTAATAGATGAGTACACTCTGCATGCTTCAAATGTTTAAAATTGAGTTTTATTTCAAGTGTCCTTTTTTTACCCCATTTCCAGATTAATTTAGGAGCCTTTTATATTGTGTCTAGCATCTTGCAAATAGCATATGTAATTTTTTTGGAGATGCCATACAATAGCCCTTGCAAAGACCTTTTAAATGAGCCCAAACTTGTTTATGAAATATTTCATGGTATGAAGTTATTAACAAAAAATGCTTAAAACCATCCCTTTTTACCCCATTTGACGGTAATTAGATAAAAGGTATTTGTCTGGTAATAGGAACCTTATGGTTCCAAAAATGGTAGGAAAGCTCTAAACTCTAGTTAGTGACTTGAAAAATAAATCTTTTCTACACTTCACTGACTCAGCCACAGTGAGTTGATAGATACTGTCAATGCCAATAACATTGCTGCAACACAGAAGTTGCCTGTCATTGGTCTGCTCTGTCTGCACTCTGCAGTAAACAAAACTTTACCACACCTTTCTAGCTTGATCAAAACAGAACTACCCTACAAATGGAAGTTCTGACAATCTTAGCTGCTTTACTATACAATGTTTGGTGTTAAGTTGTTGATACATGGCAAGGTAAGTGCAGGATGAAATTTATCAAAATGGAATATTAAGCAAATATTAATGAATATTGTGGTGCATATGTTTTACGTACTATACTAATATTTCAACAGCTGCATATCAGTGGATTTTTTTAGTGCCCAATTTTAACTTCCTGGCCGTCATAAATATTTTTTTTTCAAAGTCTAATGAATGAAAATGCTTGCATTTATCCAATGTGAAAAATTATTAGGTTTTTCATTTTTTATAACAATTGCATATTCAATACCAATCACTTTTATTATTTCTTCCCAGAAGTTCACAAACTACCTTGGCTTCCAAGATTTTTCAATTAAGTGAACTAGTTTTGAAATGAAAAAGGAGAATATTATGAATAAGACTCTTGAGCATCTGCTTGCTCAAAATCCAGATACTTGTTCAGCTGTCTTTTCTCATAACACCTTGAGTAGAGGTACTTTGAGTGACCTGATTGGAAAGAACAACAAGTTCTACCATTGCAAGCAAAGGTCGCAGGCGTAAAGTGGGTTACCATCACCCTGTCAGCCTTATTAGTGTTGTTTGTAAACTTAATTAATATTTTGTGAAGAATAGGGTTATCAATCGCTTAACCCACCTCTTGTCAAAGTCAACATGGTGTCATAGCTTTTCGGTTGTTTATCACCAATCAATCCTTTATTGTGGGTGATTACAATTGCTAGCTGCACTAGGGCAAGCACTCCAATGTATCAAAGACTTTCTAATAGGTAGACATGGTCAGAGTTAATCACACAGTTTGACAGTGGTCCACAATGGTAAACCACAATGGAGCATCTTTGACCATTTATATTGATTGTACATATTTATAATTGATTTGCCAAAAGCTTGGTCTAGTACCTATATACAATCATTCATGATCCATATTCCATCAATGCTGATGACACAAAAGCTAAAAATGCATCACGAGCAATGGAAAAAAATTGTAGCTGCAAGATGATCTCAATAGTATAATTTTCGAGAGACAGCTGCATTCTTACACTGCTTGGCCTAGGTAAGAAAAATAAGCAGCAATTCTGCAATATGCGAAACATGGAAACAACTTAATGCCTGTAAGAGCTCAGAGCCGCGTGCGCCTTGTCAGAGCCACGTGCACCTTGCCAGAGCCGCGTGCGTCTTATCAGAGCCGCGTGCGCCTTGTCAGAGCCGCGTGCGCCTTGTCAGAGCCGCTCAGAGCCGCGCGCGCCTTGCCAGAGCCGCGCGCGCCTTGCCAGAGCCGCGCGCGCCTTGCCAGAGCCGCGCGCGCCTTGCCAGAGCCGCGCGCGCTTTTCCACTATTCCTGCGTGCTTATTGTTTGCAAGAGTTCAAATACTCGGCCAGGTAGCCCCCAAACTATGATAAATTTTTAACGTTTCTCCATAGACTTTGTGTCGTGATGGATGAAGACACGAGCTCTTCCGAGAACACAGAGCCCTGCAATGACAAATCTAGGTCATCAAAATCTAGCAATTTGCTTCTTAGTAAAGTATCAAGGCCTTCGAAAATGTCAACACCAAGTCGATGCAAAACTGGACATAAAGTGCAAGATTCTTCAGTCCCTTCCAGTTCTCAGGCTGCGTCTCCTGCGTCTTGTGCCAGCAGGGCCAAGAGGGATAGAGAGGTGTGCGCTACTCTTAATTTTAATGCTAATTTTAACCTGGTTTTTCTTAACCTGTATTGTTTACTCAAGCTTTTATTCCAGTTTTTGAGTTTCGTTTGCCGAGATTGACTAATTGCCAATTTCCTCGATGCACGAGTGTGTTATTTTCTTCATGGTCTATTCAAGTGTATTTTTTCCTTTACGGTATATTTGTAAATTAGAAACTTTTTGCTATTTTGTTGTTTAATAATATATATTAACTTGGAAATTATTAGAATCAGTACTAATTCATGCTGCTTTCTTGGTATGTTAGTTTATCTAGCCTATTTTCACTGCCATTTCCTGAATGACTAAAAGACTTACAATGAACGTGAGGTTATGTGTTACATGTGTGCACACAGTGCGAATCACGTGCCCTACTTTCTTCCAATAATTGTCAGCACCTGTGTTGTAGTTTGATTCTTCTGATTCGATTTACAGTCAAGGTTTACTATTGTTTATTTTGCAGGGGCAGGACGAGGACAATAATCACTCGATGTCGGCTGATTCGTCAAGTGATGAGAGTATGGAAAGTACGAAGAAGATTAGGAAAGAAACGGCCAAGAAGAATAGGAAAGTAACTAGCGCAGGTAAAAGCAATAAAGTAACAGGCACCGGGAAGTGTAGTAAATTAGCAGCCTCTGGAAAGAGTAATAAAGTAGCAGGTGCTGGCAAGCGTAGTAAAGTTTCGGCTACCGGGCACAGCAGTAAAGAAGAATCAGCTGGGAATAGTAGTAAAGGAATGCCTTCAACTATAGATAGCAAAGAAAAAGCCCATCGAAAAAGTAGCAAAGATAGAGGAGCTGGGGAGAGCAGTGGAGATACAGGAGCAGCGAAAGACAGTGAAGAAACAGCTTCGAAGAAGAGTAGCAAAGGAAAGGATCGCTCCAGACAAAAGAAAAAAAGTAGTAATTCTGTAGCTAAAGGGCGTGACTCTAGCATGAATTCCTCAACTAGTGAAAAGAGACGAGAGAAAAGTTTCGAGGCTCGCAAGGTCAGTGATGATGACATGTCAAGTGATAAGAATGATGAGACGCTTCAGAGCATGGAAGTAACTGAAGATGATTCTATAAATATATCATGTTCAAATAATAAATCTATCAAACCTCAGACTGTCAATGGGAATACAAACAATAACTGCGAGAGTCAGGCTGGTAGCAGTCGGGAAATCTCGCCACGCAGACGACGCAGAAGTCGGAGCTATCGTTCACGTTTAGACGAATCTCCTGACGACGATGAAGCAATGGAGACGAACACTGCTGCGACTTCTGACGGTGGCGACGCCCGGCGTAGAACCAGGAGCAGGACACGAAGATCCAACGACGACAGCAGAGCAAATGCCGGCGAACTGAGGGAGACAAGCCGACATCGCAGAGCCGCGCAAGATGACGCTGGTAAGTGGAATCTCTTGTGGTCCTATTTGAATACATTCTACTATTATTACGTTTTAGTTTGGGTTCGAGATTTTTTCTGTTCAGAGTCAATTATGATCTCTCATCATCTAATGATTTTTTATTTTGTGAAATTACTAATCCTTGATTCTCTCCCTCTAAAAATGCTGAGTTTTGGTGGTATCTTGATATTCCAAGTTAAAATAAGAGTAATGCTACTAAAGATATTGTAAACGAGCGATGAATTTTATTTGTTGAGTAATTTTGAAAAGGCGATTGTCATGACCAACACAAGTAAAATCGGCTATGGGTAATTTATTGAATACTTTATTATTCATTCTTTGAATAAATATATTTTTGCTGAGGACTTTGTCCTTTTCACTTTGTACTTTTTATTACACATGAAAGCCTGTATGCTGTTTTCATATTATAACAAATTCGACAGGATCAGTATCGGAAAGTCGACCATTTCGCGTGGCTCAGTTCGTAGTTACGGACTCTGACGACTCAGAGCCACAGTCGCGACGTGAATCCCGGAGTCGTCGCTCCACCCGACGAAGTTCATCGTCGTCCAGACCTGCAGTCGTCGCTGCTGGCGGCGACAATAACGACAATGCCGTCGGTCTCGAGGACGCGAATCCTGAAGAAGACGATCCTTCAACGGCGGCCGACGGTTCCGTGGCCGCGCGCGTCACTCGACGCACAGGTCAACGTGAGGCACGTCGCTCTGGGAGACGAAGCTCAGATGCTGCAGCTCCTGCTGACGATGAGGTACATGTACGACGTTACCCTCGTCACCGGATGCTCCTTACGGACTCCTCCAGCAGTTCGTCGTCATCGCCGCTGCTCGATGTCCCCTCCGCAGACTCTGATTCTGCGGATTCCACCGAAAGTCCTTACCGCTCTAGGGCCCGCAGGAGGCGGCGTGCGACGCCCGGACAGCAAGAGGCTGAAATACAGGCTGAAGTGAAAGCCCTGCTGGATAAGCCTCTACCCAAGCACAAGTTCCACCTGACCAAAGAGATGATAAACAGGTACAACAATTTTCTAAGTTAATCGAAATTTTAGTATAATTATGATTCATTTCCGTGATTACCTGCAGTTTTGCTCTGACTAGCTCAGTCCGTAGGTTAATGGGCTTTTGTTAAATTGAATTTCCTATTCCATTTTATATCTATAATTATAAAGTTTCTATACTTGAGATGCAATTAAAGTTATCCATTAGATACTTCTAGAGCCCCTTAAAATTAAATCTAGAGCTGCACTAGTGTTGCTTCCTAGTTTTCCCGAAAGTTAGGATGATCTTTGCCAGGAAGTTATCCCAAATTTTTTTGGTAAACTCTTGGTTTACCTAAAAATACAAAAAAGTTACTACTAAAGTTGCACCTCAGTTACCACTAAAGTTACTTCCAAAGTTGTCCTTGGAGATACGCCAAGTGTTAATCCTAAAACTATCCTCAATTTTACCCATAAAATTACTTATAAAAACGAGATACTAATAAAGTGCTACCAATGAAAATTACTCCCAATTTTTCAATTTAAAACCTAGTCTTACGTTAATCTTAAAGTAAGTTACCCATAGTTGATTACAAAGTTAGTTCCGAGAATAACTACAAATTTACCCTCTAAGTTACAAATCAAGTCAGCCCCAAAGTTGTCTCCCTACGGTGCATGTGTGCAGGCAGTACGGGGGTGGCGTCTGTAGGGTGCGCGCTCGTGATGGCTGCGGGGTGAAGTGTAGCTTGGACTTCTCGAACCGCTACTACTCCTCCCTGCACACCGTCCAGCGCCTCGAGCTCANATAACGTCTTCCAAGTGAGCAATAGGAATAACGTCTTCCAAGTGAGCAATAGGAATAACGTCTTCCAAGTGAGCAATAGGAATAACGTCTTCCAAGTGAGCAATAGGAATAACGTCTTCCAAGTGAGCAATAGGAATAACGTCTTCCAAGTGAGCAATAGGAATAACGTCTTCCAAGTGAGCAATAGGAATAACGTCTTCCAAGTGAGCAATAGGAATAACGTCTTCCAAGTGAGCAATAGGAATAACGTCTTCCAAGTGAGCAATAGGAATAACGTCTTCCAAGTGAGCAATAGGAATAACGTCTTCCAAGTGAGCAATAGGAATAACGTCTTCCAAGTGAGCAATAGGAACAACGTCTTCCAAGTGAGCAATATAAATTGTTTCCAACCTAACTTGTTTTCAACTTGTTTGGCAAAATTTCTGATGGCCAATTGAATCGTTAAAATTTGAATCGTAAGGCAAAATTTGATTTTTACCATATAAGCTTACTATGAATCTCAGCCTTTAAAGACACCTACTTCCTCCTGTTGTGTTTGAGGATACGTTAATATTATTATTCTATGAAAAAATTACCATCCAACATTACTACACTAATACTATAATGCATTACTATTAAATCAAAGTTACTTTATCACGTTACATACCTAGTGATAGAACTAAGAAAAAGTTTGGAATTCCCACCAACCTCAGCCGTTCATCAATCAGATACATGCCATCTCCATTAGGCCGCTCAAAAATGGAATCATTAGCTTTTTTTCAAGTGAAATCTATTGCATAGAAAATAGAACTTTTTTTCAAGTGAAATCTATTGCGTAGAAAATAGAACTGACAATAGAACTGACGGTATTTTTGCACGTTTTATAATCACGTAAGAATCAATATCTCGCTCAATGATACCAGCGATTTTATAATACTACTATTACATAATATTCAATTAAAACAATTTCCCAAAACTTTTATTATAAAATTCCCAAATTTTTCATATTAAATAAAAAAGAAATTGAAATTTTTTGCAAGAGACGCACTAATAAATACGAAATTCAAAATCAAATAAAAAAAGCAAAAATTCAAAATCTAATTCAATTTACGAAATTTAAAAATCTGCGAAAGTAAAAGTACCTTAATTAGTAAAACTTTATGTTAGTAGTTTAAATTTTTTTCATATTCCACGCCGCCTGCCAAAAAGTTGAATTTAGTTTTTGTGCTCACTCCTGAGTGCATGAACAGCAAGTAGTTCCGAAACTCCCGCTAATTTATTTGACTTGCCAAACGTTTCGTGCCTGCTTTAAAGATTTAAAAAAATATTCGTATATTACTTGGCTTATTTCTGAGCAGAAGTCCTATGGGATTTCGCGCTCCTAGGGGGATTGTTCCTGAGCGCCCCACCGCTGAGCTCGCGGTGTCTGACTGTAGGTCTCAGTTTGTCTCTTATACACATCT